ACAAGCTGGTTGTCATAATTACATGCTATTAAAATCACAATTATATGCTTGCATGGCCCTCCGTCCCCCGGGCCACGACCATCAATGGACCTTAATGAGCCAGACAACCATCATTATGACACTATGCGGTTTAAACATATATTAGTTCAAAAATCAGATGTGTCAAATGATATTTTCTAGTTTTTACAAGAGGATTTTAATATTAAAAAGATGCCAAGATTATCATCCTTGACCTAAGGTAGTTCAACGCTCTCCGAAGATGTAAAGCTAGTAAAGCTGTGAAGTCCGATCTTGAAGGATGAATTAATCATCAAATTCAATTTTTAAACTATTGCTGTATAGTAGGTTCTGCAACATGATCAAATGTAGTTGATAGATTAACACGGTTATTCCTGTTATTTCGTCTCTGTTATTCTTTATCTATTTTATCTACAGCTAAATATGTGTAATAAATGACCTGTGAACATTCTTTGAAAAATAACTGCCTAAATTAATTATCTATTAGTTTAAGGTGATGTCAGATTGATTTATAAGAAGTTCTTAATCGGTAGATTAAAACTTTGCCTGAAAATAATATTTGTTGATTTCTTTGCTAAAAATTAGAATGAAAAAACAATAAAACATATCGATACATTCTGACATTTATATTTCCCATGTTTAGTACCAGGTCAATATAGCAATTACACAGTCAAATGTCAAAAGATCCATTTTTCTTTTGTACAAAACTATATTAAACTTAAATGATATATAAAACACATGTTTAACTAACGAGCCTTTAGCCAAGGAAGGTGCTTTAGCTCTTGGCCAAAAACTGCCACTGATTTCAACAGGTCACGGCCTCCCTTTGATCCTCAAAAATCTTCAACACAACTTTAATTGATATATTTATTCTCATATATGGTAGGTCTAGTATATATGCATAATAAACAGATTCCCTTTTCAAATTGTAGACTGTGTTTCAATAAAAAGCCGTTTTAAGTAGAATATATTTACGGATCATTATTATGACATATTCTAGCAGATATGTATGCACAAGTGATAAGGGAAAGGACCAAACTTGTGACACAACTTAGCAAGAAAAAGAATACATATACCAATAATAAGGAAAACAAAACCCAACTATCCCAAAATCATAAATATTTGACTGGTCAAAATGATATTTTTCTCAGTCTAATATTCACGATTGTGCAAAACAACAATTCTTTTTCAAATTGGATCTACGTAAGTCACAAAAAATGTGAGACTGATAAGTTCAACATTTCATAGCGAATACTGAAGTTGTGAGTCTACTACAGTTGACAGACATGTATTGACATTTTTACTTTCCATTCTTGGCATACATTGACAGCATTAGTCAAACACTTCACGTGCATACCATCTCTATATAGATATGTGTTGTCGTTAGAGGCGGCCAATTAGGAAGATCATTAGCTTAAACATAAGTTAATCCTCCCACCACACCCGACAGATTCGTAATATGCTCAATAGCAACACCAGTTAGTCTTGCTTCAAACCCTCGCGACCCCAGTGTATATGTCACATCCTGGAGATGAAGTAGACTTGATGCACGAAACACTACTCGGCCTTCCCATCCGAAGATGAAACCTTTGCCCTCTTTCTGATAAATGCTATTGTTTCTTTGAAAAATAAAAACAGGCCTAGGGGTCTCATACACAACAAAGCTCAATGTAAAAAACTCCACCCGAAATGCAGTATTTGCACTGACTGATAACATATACATGTACTTCCCTTTAAAGGTGTCTTTTTCTCAGTGCTTTGCGTGTGTTATCATTTCGTACATTTCTACCGTGTTGTAGTAACCTAGAACGTCAACATTTAAATTCATTCATCAACCCCCATGAATCTGTTCGGTTTTTGGTAGAGTTGCTCCCTCCTGGATAGACGCGTCTAGTTCCTGGATCAACTTACAATTTAAAAAATGATGAAGTATTTTAATTGATTGGTCGACACGGGATGCGTTTGGCTGTTAACACGAGATAATTCGTGTTGGAGTGGATTGAAAATAGAGAGGTTATTTACATGGGTGTATTAAATACGGATTTTATACCAAGGGTAGCTATGGTATCTCATGCTTGATGTAAAAAGTAATAAACTACATATCTATCATTTTATCGATTATAATAAAGCATTAAAATCACGATTTGAATATTTCAAAAATGTCAGAATATTAAATACGGAAACGACCTGGTGACAGGTGAATATGAATTCAATGCGTCGAAGGCCAGGTGAATACGATTTTTGAGAAGGGAATTTTACAATATCACTTTACTTATTCCATTGCGTTATTCATTTGTAAGTGATAGTATCATGTATATCCTGCCACTAATTGCATAGATATCACGGTGTATAACCCAAACGCTCCTACATGCACGACGGAGCGTTTTATTACTGAAATTAAACAAAGAAACGCTCCGGAGTAGGAAAACTGGCTGGCGGGAATGATGAGCCGTCTGACGATTTCCCCAATAATGGGAATAAGAGGTATGAGTTACATATTTCGAGTATACAATTCGATGGGTGTGATATTCATGTTGTACTTGGCTGGCTGTTGACGTTTGAAGCTATTAGGAAGAGCTGTACTAAGCAGTATAGTTATCAAAATTCAAAAACGTATTTGTCATTCTACCGGTAAAAACCTCTTTTGTCGATACATGTGATTAGTTGAGCCAAGTTTAGAGCACCAACGTATATTTTAGTCAAATTCCAATGCTTCAACGCACCATACATTATCGTAATAGTGATTTGATGACCGAAAATCCAGTCTTAAAAATGATGACATTCTCATATTCAAGAAACGCTCCGATCTGGTTAACACAGTGAACTGGAAACGCTCTGGTAGTCTAGATCAGTTAAGGAAATATATAGCTTGCCTTTCCTTTTCAGGAAGAGAAAGAAAGATCTATTATACCCCTTGGCATCAAAAAAAGAAAGATTAATTCACATGTAAATTTTCGTTTTTTTTCTTTAGTTTTATTATTTAGCACATATGTAGGCATGACATCATCTAATGTAGGCTTAAATCAGCTCGTTGCACGTTTAGCACCACCAGGTTCAGATGTTTCATTTTTGCCTAACAAGTACAACACGTTTTTAAGAGATAGATTCGATTCGGAACTCTTCTCTAATAATCTGAAAATGATATCAAAACAAAATGGTAAGAGCGTTTCTAAAATTGTGTTCTAAATCGACGGAGCGTTTCGAGGAAAACAAGCGATTTCTCGAGAACAAGTAATGGATTCGGACTGGGATTTTAGGAAATGAAAATATACGAGTTTTTGATCTACTACTTTAACAGAAAGATTAACGTTTTCATAGAAATACTAGTTTAATTCGTAATTTGTGGTCAAATCGTCATCTTCAGATTCGTTCGAGCTACACTACGGAGCTTTGATCAAGCAAATAACAGTTTACCACCAGAAGTTGAATAAATAAGATCTTTGCTCACGGTATTGTTCATCGAATGGTACATAATATTTCACCATAACATATGATATGTAAGAGAAACGAGAAAAACAATACTGACGGTCATAGTGGAATCTTCATTAGCCGCCATTTTATTTCGCTTCGGAGCGTTTCCGCGTAAATGAAACGCTCCGTCGTGCATGTAGGAGCGTTTGGGTTATACACCGTGGATATACATAGTCCATAGTAATAAAGAATCAAAGACGGGAGTACAACAATAAAATCAATTTACAGTTTAACCATAATAACCCCTCCACAGTTTGGAGATCCCCATGGGAGAGAATGTTCACGGGAAGTCTTACTTAATTGTCTCAATATGTTAGTTAATGACATTATTATATGAATTTGTTAAAATTGCTCAACTTGCACAAGCTTTAAATAATTTCATGGTCAGAAAAATCCAAACTTCCAGTTGCCGAGCTTTTTGAGGGGAGTGTACTGAGTAGTATCTCGGAAAATGATGATGATGTATAGTTCATAGAAAAATGTACATAAACACATTTCTTTGGAGATCTTGGTTTCAGAGAATAGCCAATACAAGGAATTTTCAAAGTATAATTTGATCACTGCCCTTGTGTAAGTATTCCTCGTACTTCTACATTTTTCTAACAGAGCGTTGCCCAATGTTTCCAGTCGCTACTTTATCATCATGAACGAGCCCATATTTCTTCATTTTAGGACCCCATGCATATCTGGGCAATTTTAAAATGATTCATGAAGTAATTTCCCTAGCAAGCAATCTACCCCCTGTAACACATGTACGATGAAACAGGAATGAGATGTGTACGAGACATTGAAGTGGTTGGTTAGTCACTAAAAAATACTTGTTAGTCACATAACCGATAAATGATCAAAGTTGAGATACTAGACAGGGTCAATTTAGATGACACACCCTGTAGTTGAAGTAACCTTTTTCGTAATGGATGTGGTTCTTGATCATCATAATGTAATTTAGATACCAGCATCTAAAACTACATAAAGAACAAAGTTAGATGTGCTAAGAGATTTATTTCAATTAGGTCAATCAAACAAGATCATAAAGTACACTTTCCCAGGGGCTATAATTAACAAAATATATTCACACCAATTTATGTCCGTTATTCATTCATAAATCAAATTACTTTTGTTCTAATTTTCATATTTTAGCTATGTTAAGCGTACTACAGATATTTGGAGCCGCTACTATAGTATGGCCATCATCTAGTTCTCATTTGGTACTTGTCATACATATACCTCCAATAGTTTGATTAAACTGGTCTACCCTGTAGAAGACTGTCACCCTCAGGGTACATTTATTAATCCCAGACCCAGCTGAGATGGTTCGATGGGTTTCTTTCTTAGATACAACATGCCTATTGTTTGATGCATTTTTGTTTTTGTTTGATGCATTTTTGTTGTTGTTTGATGCATTTTGTTGTTGCTTTATTGCTGAAATGAAAACCCAAAATTTAGATTTTATAATATTTTGTATATAGATAGATAAAATTGACGTTAGTATTTGAAATTTATGTTTTCAGCACATAGACACATCAAAGAGTAAAGATGAGCCCCCAGAGAGAAAGGGTGGAACACTAGTCGATGTCCTCATAAATTTACAAAAGATAGCAGAAGAAAAACTAGGATTAAGTCATGTGAGTATTTGTATAATTATGTTTATGTCATATGTATCAGTATATGTAATATATTGACTTGCAATTGAATGATTGGTCTTGCTTCAAGAAGCTGGACCCCACCCCGCCGTATCTACTTAATAACAACCGGATGTAACATATATAAGGTGAGGGGGGGGGGGGGGGGTCGGGGTCTTGAGACTAGACTATATATTTCTGGAATTCACTCACGTGTATATGTATTGAATAATAATCATTTATGGAATTCACTTGATTATTTGCATTTTAATCGCTGTCCTAATATACGTTTTTCATTTTGCTTGCTTTGGAAACATGGTAAGTTACTGGTATTATATATCATTATCCAATATCATATAAAATATTCAATTATATGGTTTTTTGGTTCATTAAAAACATCATATTCCCCAAAGTTCCACTTGGTATTCTTCGACACCATGGGCCTGTCACAAATTTGAGATTCACTAAACTATGTAACTTTATGAATGTTTTCATTTCAGAAACAAGGTGAAGAAAAGAATGTAAATAAATTTTTCGAAAGTGACATAATATTAAGTCCAGATCAGGCCTCTGTGTTAATGGATGACCTGACCAGTATTTCTAGAAAAAAGCGAAAGCTCACAGCAGACACTAGAAAATGGTGGCATTTACCCATTCCATTTGCCTTTGATGGCAGACATGGTAAGTTTCATTTTAGAACACTGTGCGGAATCGTTTAAATACGCCTGAAGTATGATATAGTATAATCTATCAAAGTGACGTTTAAAATGTAACACTGAACCGTTTTGATGGTTAAGAAATGACACGTATAGTATGTGTTTACGTAAAAAGAAATATTGTGAAAGGAAAACCTTAAATACAGTAACACCAACAAGAGAGGACTATAGACTGTAGAAATACATATTATTTGCTATAATGACGACGGGACACTGGGATGGTTATTTTCTATTTTCAGATGAACATGAAAAACAAGAGATTCGTTTAGCTATAGACCATTGGGAGTCACAAACCTGTATAAAATTTGTAGAATATAATTATAATCTTAGATCAACTAAGGATTTTCCTAGGAAAATACTTCTATTCACTAAAGAAAGCGGGTAGGTATTGTTGAATCTAGCAATGAATGAACGTTAAATATATTTTTCAATTGAACGATTAAAATTTTTCAAATATGCAATCACCTGTGTGGAAGCGTAAAATACCCTGCAAGAAAACAACCTCTGATTCCAATTATGACCAAACGCACACAGAAACAAAGTAATTTACAAGTTATTATATCTGTTCCAGATGCTGGTCATACGTAGGTTTTATGAATCAAAATATGCAACGAATATCTATAGGACCCGGTTGCATGGGGGTAAGTAACACGTAATAGTAAAATTCATACAGAATTCATACATAATCTCGGAGCATTACCACTGCATGAAAACACGAGTATTGCTTTGATACAAGGACATTGGATATATAAAAAAATATTGCATATCTTGGGAGGAGACAGATTTAAAAATGAGTAGATATAACGATTATAAATAGAAAAGTGAAATACCATGTCTTCTATAAAGTTCACTCATGTATCGTTGGTAATCATTGTAAAACGTATGGCGAATGTCAAGATCCATCATAATTTCGTTAATACCCACTTTCCAGACTGGAACTATTGCTCACGAGATAGGTCATTCCATTGGTTTCTGGCACGAACAGAGCAGGCCAGACAGAGAAGACTATATTACTATTCATTATGACAATATAAAAGATGGAAAGGCGTATAACTTTCAAAGAAGGACTTGGAAAGAAATAACTGATCTAGAAGTTCCATATGACATAGGATCTGATTTACATTATGGGTCAAAGGTAAGACAACTGATAGAATATCAGGAAACACGAGGGGTAACGAGAACCAACGTCATTTCATTTTAAAAATATATTCAAGAATCTTTATTTAATTTAGAAATCTCCTATGAAGTGAGACAGACTCATAAATCCATTGACAAATCGGAAAGAAGATCAAGCTTGAAAAAGTTCCCAATTATCATGATCAAGAAATATGATTACCAACACCAACTTAGAAAGCTTGTTGAAGGTTGAAAAATTACTGAGATAAAAGAAACTGTGATAAACCTAGACTTTTTACTTAGACTATACTTTAAAAACATGAATCCACAAACAATATAATGATTTTGAAAGTGTATTCAACAATCATATCATGAAGTGACGGGATCTCATAGTATGTTATGGTTCTTAATAAGATTGATTGCATTATTTCCAGTACTTTTCTAGTAATGAGCGCTATACTATAGAGACCAAAGATCCATTGATGCAGAATGTACTAGGCCAGAGACAAGAGCTTTCATTCTATGATGTAAAACTGGCTAACAATGCTTATTGTAAAAGTAAGTTCATAAAAAAAACACTTCAAAATACTCGCATTGAGGATAAGTTCATTATATATACACATTGCAGATATTTTTATGTGGGAAAAGTAATGATAATTAAGATGGTGTAGCATTTTGCACTAATTACATAAAATGCAATAAAACTACACATATACATAGCTCTCAGCTCCATTTATTCAATTAAGTTTTCCTTCATTAACTTATGTACATATCCTCATTCTGCAATATCTACCTTCTAAGGTGTAAACTACATATTCTCGTTAAACTTAATTACAGATACGTATGTATAGTACTATAGATGAAAATTACTTGTATTTGTTTCCCACGCACCATGCAATATTCTTTAATGTCAAAGCGGAAGCAGAAAGAGCAACAGAACAAACTACAACTCGTAAATTAAACTCCAACTTAAATAAAAATGAGCCTCAAAACTAATCTTAGATAAACAAATATCAAACCCTTAGAACGCATAAAACCAGCAAATTAAAAAATAAAGATGTACCTTTGTTAAAATGCACAAATGATATCATTGACACAGGTCAGTACTTAATAATATTTCTAGGATTCGTTCACAATTTTTAATCATATTTGTATAGCTCACTGCGACTCCAACCTCCTTCCACAAACCTGCCAACGGGATGGCTACCAGGACCCAGCCGATTGTAAACGTTGTCGATGTAGCGATGGCTTCTCTGGTAGATATTGTGACACTGCTGCTCCGGGAGTAAGAGGTACGATATGTAACAGTTTGGCAAATACTAACTTGATAGCATATGAAACACTTAGGTTTCATCCTGTTGGTAACACTTTTACACGCATGAATCATCTCCTCCCCACGTAGTATAAACCAGTTCGAGATATAGTATGCCGCTTCCTCTCGCCATCTTAGAAGGAGGAATAAGGTGAGAAGTCTAAATTTATAGCTTTTAGGGCTTGATATCGTATACAGAGTGACCAAAAAACAGAATCCATAACTTTTATTCAAAGATTTGTGGGTTCTGTTTTCTAGGGTGACCCCGAATGTAATGTGAGTAAAAGACACTCCAACAATACATAAACAAAGTAATAATTCTAAATTATGCTTTTTCAGTTTACGAAAACAGTAAAATGTGGAACACATTTTGTTCTTCTAAGTGTTCCACTTGGGAGGGTTTCAATTATAGAGGTTCATTTATCATTAAAATAGTTGGTCTCGAGACTCTGAAAAGTGTTCCACTAACAGAAGTGTTTCACTTCTAGAGGTGTTAATCTTTACAGGTTTCACTGTACATCCAACTCCCGCATGACACAATTGATTTGTTTTTAGCATCTTGTGGTGGTGTAGTGTATGCTGGAACTGGCGTCATATACTCACCAGGCTACCCAAACTATCTCTATAAAACTGGTCAGAAATGTAGTTGGCTCATCAAGGCTCCTATTGGAAAACACATCTATCTACGCTTCCAAGACAAGTTCGACCTAACCTGTGACCCTGACCTTTGTAAAGACTTTGTGGAGGTCAGATATAGGTCAAATCTCGGCGCCACTGGTGCAAGGTAATATAATTGTAATTTCAAAATCAATAAATGTATCTGATATTTTGAGTTTATGTACAAAAAGGTGTAATTGAGCATGGACTATAAAGGAATCAGTGTAGAAAGTGAGTTCGCAAAATCAACATTGAATTAATGTTATTAAAAATGTGTGTTTCCAATATTTATAGGTTCTGCTGTTCTAATCTTCCGGATATAACAGTGAGATCTGATACAAACGAGATGATGGTCCTTTTTAGATCCTTTGTTGGAAACAGGGTCGGATTTAAAGCAATGTATTTTACAGGTACGAAATAAATATAAGTTTGAAATATCAAAATAAAAAAAGTCATGAAAACGATTGAGAGCTACTATTAGATCTTTTTTTTATAATATATACTCTTATGTGATTATGTTTAGATACATGTGGTGGATGCGGATCCAAGTACCCGTCATTACAGGAGCCATGCCATAGAAGCAAGGAATACAGATGTACCAGAACGTGGAACACTAAATATACCGTTCAGTGTCCATCTTGGTGGAGAACTCCCAATTGTGGAACAAAGTAAAAATGTTATATAATCACAGATAAATGTAACAAAAAAGAAATGATCTGAAATGAAATGTAAAATAGAAAGGAAAGAAGCTAACTTAACCCTTAAGTCTGAATATTTATAGTCTGGTGAATATTCAGTAAATAATTCTTTAATTTTTTAGATATAAGCAAGTCGTACGGTATTCTACCTGTGTTAAAGATGAAGTTTACTGCTGTGGGAATTTTGCCTTAGTTGGCGATCTCTGTAGATGTAAGGACACCCTTTTAATTACATTGTATAATGTCAAGAATATCAAACACTTAATTGCATAATATGAAGGCCCTGTTATGACCGTGTATTCTGACCAGAAAGCGCAAGAGGCAACATGCATAAAGACACATGGGACATTTCCACCAATAAAACCGATACAATGTGAAATGTCAAAACCGTGACCTTAAGTTTTGATCAATGCCAAACATATGTAGTTATCTTGTTAATTAGTGTAATATGTAATTCATCTTCTATTTTCCAGCAATGTCGCAAGCTGATCAACTGCCAGTAGGGGACCAACCAGGCACTGAACCAAGTACACCAGGTGGCGCTACCATAGACCCATCTTCACTCTGGTCTGCTTGGACGAACTGGTCAACGTGTTCCAAATCTTGCGGAGGGTGTGGAAAGAGAAGTAGAAGCAGAACATGTCTATCACCTGGAAAGTGCGAGTAAGTGAAAACATGTAATATGGGACATGATTTATTTATTCACCTGGAAATAAAGGCAAATAGTTTAAATGTCATATAATATATCTAAATAATTTTACAGCCATTTGTACCTTTCCATTTGAACTTTCTATTTTCGTCTAAATACAGAAGTGCATAATAATTAGATAAATGTTCTAATGGATTCCGTCAGAAGTTATGCTGACGGCTTGAAGCTGCTATTAGCCTATTACCATATGTATATGTACTCTAGGAATATATGTATTACGTAACAAGATAAAAAATAAACTTGATATTCTGAACTTACTTTTCAGAGGAAACAAAAACTTTGAGAATCAGTATGAAGACTGTGGCCATGAACCGTGTCCCTCAACGTTCACTCGGGCATGTAAAGTCCAGGAAAAGTACCAAGTTTTCTGTAACCCATGGACAATGCAAATGTGTACAAGGTATGGATTGCATTAAGGAAGTATCTGTAAAAGCATGGACATTCTTTTAAAGACTACATATACCGGATTTAGAATTCAGACTTTAGCATGAAAACTATACAGGGTGTCAAATAAGTCCCGTCCCCCCCTCTACAGCCAAAACCAAGATATATGGTACTAAGTGTGATATATCATTGGAAAGGTCTTCCAAAGTTACGTTGATTAGCATATATCTGAAACATGTCAATCAATCTCACAAAGTTTTACAGTATATCAATTGAGGTGACCATAGGCCTAGAAACATGGCAATTCGGCGAATTTCGCAGGATTTTCAGAATCGGGTATAACAAAGGTCAAAGGACCTAAAAATGACTACATATGTTTATGGCAATAAATTTAACCAATTTCTGGATAGGGGAGGATGTGTAGAAAATAGAGGAGCAAGGTAAGTGGTGAAAACATTTTTGTAACAAGTGGAATGCGAAAAAGATTAAATTTTTGACGTATTTCTGGGGTCAAATCCTTCTCATTTTGAAGCAAAAATTCTGCTTAAAGGAGGGTATGCTAACTATAAAAGACATCATGAAAATATAGGTGAAGTTCATCCAAAATAATTGAGAGTTGGTGAGTTAACAAAACTTTGTATGATCTTTCCAGTGGTATATCACACAGGCACCATCTATTAAGGTTCTAGCTGTAGCAGGGGGGACGGGACTTATTTGACACCCTGTATATTCAGTCACATCACATCATGCAATGTAGTTTATATTTCCATGTATAGATCAGTGTATAAACTATACACCAGTCAATGCTGTCATTTACGTGGTCGCATCACACCATGAAATAACGTTTATTTTTCAGGTATAGATCAGTATATAAACCATACACCAGTCAATGCTGTCATTTATGTGGTCGCATCACACTATGTAATAACGTTTATTTTTCAGGTATAGATCAGTATATAAACTATGCACCAGTCAATGCTGTCATGGCTTCAAGTTTGAGGATAAGAAATGCATTCCTGCGTAGTAGCACATGCGTTTGCTGTCATACAAGTCTGATGAAAACAAGTATAAAATATAGCATAGCAGAGTGATAAACTGCGCAAATAATCCAGAATGAAGAATAGATGGCATGCAAGTGTGCGGCATCAGTGAACAGCTCACAAACTATGAATAATGCTTCCACTGATGTTTGAATATCTGAGGCATTTAGGATAAAGCCGTTGTAAAGCTATGCCCTAAGCCAGACATATCAAGAAAAACCAAATAATATAATGTTGATGAAACTTCCGTGAACAATTCCATTAATTGCACTGAAGCCTTCTGCAACGATTGTCAATGAATAACAGGTCGACAACCGTGTATATTGTCAGCTTAGAGAGCCTAACGTGTCTGAGTTGTGACACCACCGCCTACTCTTCATCTTGCATCCTGCATATGTGCAAACAATGGGTGCAACTCATGCAACTGTTCGTTGCAACATGTACGGTAACAGGACTCTGTGTATGAACACTAATAGAGTGTCCGAGTGTTACACGAATTGAGTGTATGTATGAATAATGTAGAGTGGCATTAAAACAGAGCTATTTTTAATCTAATGTAAAGAAAATAGTGTACATAAATGTAAATATGATGTATATATTTTATCAAACTTATGTGGAGGGCAAGTTCTTATTTATATACATTTGAAAAGAAGCACACTTTGATGTATTAGTAAGTGTATGCTATTATTATGTCGGACATTCTAGATCTACTTTCCATGCCTCAGTCACATTTGATCTACGGCAAACGAAAGGCGGTCGTAGCTTCCTAAAATCGAGAGAAATATGTGAAGCTACGACCGCCTTACGGCCGCCGTAGAGCAAATGTGACCGAGGCGTTAATACTAGTAGTTGAATATTGTTTCATAAGAAGAAAATACTGTAAAATCTGCAAATTGAAACACTATTGGAACTTACCTAGATGGTGTTTCACCTCGGAGGTGTTCCACTTTCAGAGGTTCTATGTTAACATTGAGTCTCTGGTCATGGGACGGTGAACATGTTTGACTTATGGAGGTGCTCCATTTACAGAGGTGTTCCACTTGGCATGTTTTTCTGAATCATATTTATTTAGAGCATTGGCTTTTCACAATGTGCGCATACTTAGCTGCACATGGGGATGGGGTATGGATAAATTTGAATGGCATCTGAGACATTTATCTATTCGTTATTTTCTGAATCTGTTTAGTGCATTAAATATATACCTGTTCAGAACAATGATATTTTTGAAATACATAATCATGATAAAATTAGATTTTGAATTATGAATCCATCGTCGTTGCTACAAGATCTAAATCTGAAGAAATGTCGTGTAACTAAATGGTAAAATATACTTATAATGAAACGGAGATCTTCATCTTTGTTGTTACACAGGAGAGCCATTGTATGCCTGAAGTGAGTATGCGCAGATTCATCTAGAAAACGGTTTGAGAGAGTTAAATGTGTCATTTGATGATCAATCTTAACAATGAACCAGTTTTATACATTATTACTAGAATAATAGATCTGATGTATAAGACTTAATGATATGAGCCTATCATTTTCAGTCTTGACATCCTCCTCCGTTACAAATGATACGTTGTTATACATAATACCTTAAATACATGTATGAAGTACAAATTCACAACCTTTATTTATTTATGTTCAAGTACGTTTCGAAAAAAGGTTGTAAATTTAAGGAAAGTGTTTTTTATGTATTAAAATGCCAACTTGAAAAACATGTTTAGGATGTTTGAAGTAGTTTGTTTTTTAGCTCAAAGATTACTGTATCATTTAAAATCTAAAAAGGTTATATGCAATTATGTTTATACATTCTAATATTCGCATTAGATGCAATAAATGTTCAGCTTATCGCTAGATTTAACAATTTCAATAGTATGTATAGTGTAAAATAATTCCATCATCAAAATGAAAGTGTAAGGCATGTACTTAGTGCAATTGAGTAAATGGCTTTTTAGATTTTTAAAAGTCATCATGAAATAAATATAAAATAATATGGCATGATTTTGTGTTTTTTATTTTGTAAACACGTGACGCGACGCTTTGTCTGTGATATAAATCAAGAGGTTATTGTGCTAGTCTTTCACGTTTCCTGGTCATCTCAACCCCAAGTCAACTCAATCCCAAGTCAAGTCAACCCCAGTAAAACTCAACCCCAAGTCAACTCAACCCTGTAAAACTCAACCCCAGTAAAACTCAACCCCTATATTTCTATATATTGAAAGTTTATTTCGTAAAAATAATTCTGATTATTCAGTTTGTGTTTTTCATTCTTAGACCGCTGCCTTTTTAGATTATAGTTAATAATGAGTTTATCTCTGAAATGTCAACATGGTACTAATAGGATTAAAATATGGGTCATTTTTATTAATCTTGCTAATACATTTGTTTTGTTTTAATCCCTCTGAGGTTGACACTCTGGAAAACTGTAACATGACCATTGCTTTCCAGGGGCATAGCCAGCTTTCAGTCAGGAGGGATGCAATCGCCCAAAAATCAGAATTTCAGTCAGGGGTGCCGAACGTGGCATAAGCGAGCCAAAAAAGATATGCTTTGACAAAAAATGATGACTTCCTTCAAAATTGGGGGGGGGGTGCGCATTCCTCCTGGCTACGCCTATATACTTTCTACTCAAAGTATCATGTAAAATGCTTGATTTTCATATATGAATGACTTCAATTATTCATCATAAAAAATTGAATTAGACATTGCAAAAATGAATAGGGTTGAGTTTTACAGGGTTTAGTTGACTTGGGGTTGAGTTTTACTGGGGTTGAGTTGAGTTGGGGTTGAGTTGAGTTGGGGTTGAGTTGGACTGGGTTGAGATGACTTGGGGTTGAGATGACCTGTCACCGTCTTTCACCGAGACCATACAGGGTGTCACATAAATATGTTCTCCCCTCCTTGACTTAAGCATCCAAATCAAATTGCATTAATTTTTTTCTACATGATATCTAAATTGTTCTTTAGCATATCAAAACTTGGCTTCACGGAGCAACTCCACAAAAAGTTTCAGATAACACGCTAAACTAGATGCACTTTTATGTACAAAAGTTCATTATTTTGAAATCAAAGGGGAGAACATATTTATTTGACACCCTGTAGATTTACAATACGTTCTCCTTTAAAAGGCCCACTATACACTGTTGCTCATAAATATGGAATATTAGATTTTGCAACTCAGAATTCAAAGTTTGGAGTAAGAGAACATTTATTTGGAGTTGGCTCAGACATTTATTTTCTAGGCAAATCATAACCACATATTTCACCTACAAATCAACATTTTTTAGAGAAAAAATATTAACATTTAAGTTTAGAAAATTACTGCTACTTAAACAGGGGTACGCTAAGAATTTTTGCATTTTCAAAACACCCCGATCCAAATCGTCATGTAAAACAGGTCAAACAAAATAAACATCTGGTCATGACGATTGAAGTGTCCTCTATCCAATGATAGCACTAATATGTGTTATGTCCTCTTTGTGCTGCAATCAGAGCATCAACCCTACGGGACCAGCATTGAATGCAGGGTTCGTACACCTTTTTCAAAATGAATTTCCCTGACAATTCCCTGACATTTCCAGGCAAAAAAGGAAATTTCCAGAACTAATTTTCCTCGCGCGCCCTCTAAAAAGTTTCAAACAACTGTATTATTCAAGACAAAAAGACTTATTATGAAACATTTGCTGTTTCTCCTTCAGTACCATTTCTCATGACTTAACTACTTGTACAGGCAGTCTTATTCACCAATTTATTCCTGATACATTTTATTTTTAATATTACATATTTTACATTGCATAAGGCCAAAGGTAAACATACATGTACAGGGGCATAGCCAACAAGTATCAAGGAGGTGCATCTTTTGGGGTTTGCATCACTGCGAGCGAAGGAAAACCAGAAGGGGGGTACGGGGGTTCACCCCTGGAAATTTTTCAAAATTGACAATTGTATATGGTGCATTCTAAGCATTTCAAACTATAATTTGTTAATGTTTTGTAATGAATCCAAATGACAACTGAAACTTTAAAATTTTGATCAAAATCCTACTAGAAAAATAGCAACTCACTTGAGGGGCAATTCCCACCTAATGAAACATATTGCTATTGAATACTATCATTGTGAACATTATATGATAGCAATAACCTGTCATTACTATTGTCTTCTCCCTTTTGGGAAAATTACACCAAAACAATTGACACCGTATAAGAAATTCCTTCTCAAGTAGCATCACCAGATCACGAAAAGGCTCAGGCCTATGATACCAAATCAAATGATCAGTATTTTGTGTTATCAGGAATCAAATTTCTTTAAATTATCAAAAATTTTGAATTCAGAGACCATCTTGAATATTTCTTCTTGAGCAGGTCCTTTGTCCCTAAGGCTACATCATACAAAATTTGAGCCAAAGTAAAATGCTGGGTTCATCTTTACAAGAAGAAAAATTTGGACCAAATTCAAAAACTGTTAATAGTACCCCACACACATTTTGGTTGCCTACTTCCATGTGCTAAGGTTTTCAAAATTGGCAAAGCCCCTGAACGTTGAAAAGACTGACGTACGATCGGACTGTCGAACAGACAGCTTCTTAATATAAATACAATTTTACATTGTAAAGAACTCCCAGAATTTTTTTTGTTTTTCACCTCCCAAACCCCCCTCAGATTAACCCCTCATCAAACCATGAAATATATACCAGTAATATATAACCAGTAACTTTGAATGGCCTAAGACTAAGCTTACTACATAAAGAAGCATAATTGTATTAAATCATCTATACATTATTTTTATTGTTCGGTTTCAGTGTAATGTTCACACTGTTCTTACAAATAGACAATACCAGATCTAATGTCATTCAACCAACCCTAATGAAAAGATTTTCAATTTGTGGAAACAACTAGATGATTTTGGATTTCACTTATATCCTGTCATAGCCCTAAAATGTATTTTGCTGGAACATTATTCCTTCAACATTGATACAAAATTTCCTGACATTTCCCTGACACATCTACTGTTTCAAAATTCCCTGACATTTTTGGCCCTTTTTGACCCAATTTTAAAATTCCCTGACATTTCCAGCACCTGGAAAAATAAATCAATTTCCCTGACATTTCCAGGTGTGTACGAACCCTGGAATGAAACATCTG